GCACAGTGCTGTGGCGCGTGGACACACGGACAGCAGCAAGGAGGCCTGGCCCTTGGGCACAGTGCTGTGGTGCAGACACACGGGCAGCATCAAGGAGGCCTGGCCCTTCGGCACAGTGCTGTGGTGCGGACACACGGTGCTGGCAGCTGTTAGGCTGTGGACGTGGTTGTTAAAATGCGAAGCTCTCTGCACCCACTGCCAGCTTTATCCTCCAGTCAGCAGCTCTAATTCCTCCAGCCCCACCTGGCAGACACTGCCCAGCGCTTGCTGACAAAGGCTCGGCCCCGACACCCCGGCTCTGTGGACAGGGCCCGTGCCAACGTCACCTACTGTAACTGGGCGCCCAGCCATTACTTCTCCACTGCTGATTCCGAAGCCTCCTCTGTTAACAGACTGATTTCCTCTCCTATTTAATATCTTTTCCACTCAGCAATAATGTGCTTTCACTCAGTGAAGCGCGTAGCGGGGGACGGGAGGAGTAAGTACCTATAGTTATTTAAAGGCAGGCATTACCCAGCCTTTTCCATATGGAAGGCAGAAACTTAAAATGTCACACCGGCTGCTGTGTGCTGATGTGTCTCCTCATTCCTCCCGTCAAGCAGCTAACAAAGTAGGTATTAATTGGCACCACCAACTCCACCCGAATATCATCCGCAGCGCTGCTAAAGTGCTCCTTCCGCACCTTGCCCACAGACTCTGGTGGCTGATTGCTGCGTTGGCACATGGCCATTTGTCTCTGTGGCCTCCTGCCCTTTCGAGCTTTTTATTTACCTAAGTGGAATAAAATAAAAATACAGGTGCCCTGCTGGCTTGCATCAGTCTCTAAATAACAGGGCTGGGCACCAATTCTGCGATGTTGAGGTGCGGGGGAAAAGGTTCTCGACAGTACCACGTGGTGTGGCCCAGGCCAGCAGTCAGCCTGTGGGTTCAGAGCTCAGAGGTGCCAGGCCTGGCGCAGGGCTGGTGATGGCTTTCTAGGGCCTGCCAGGCTCCCACCCCCTCCTCTGGGCAGAGAAGCCATGGGCCACAGACACAACCTCGTGATCACCAGCCAACGTCCCGCGATCGTGGGCACTACCCGAAAGTAGGTCCCGTGCCCCTCTCCTGACGTGCTGAGGAGACAAGGACACCTCTCCGGAGCTGAGCCGGGCTAGGGGGCCAGCGCTGCCCCGCGGGGGCTCTGGGGAGGGAGGGTGCCGTTGGAACTGCCACACCAGGAGCTTGGTCCGCAGGTGCAGGCTCCAGGCTGCGGACCTTGGCAGACGATTCAATGATGGCAGACGTGGGCCGAGCCACCCCAGGCAGCACACGCCCCAACGGCGCTCACTGCCAGGACCCCACTCGCACCTTTCAGCCTTTCCCGTGGCCCGTGCTGCCCGGAGGACTGTACTTTTTGGGTTTTGTGCCAGCCCCAGATAGGCGGGGAACCGTGCTGGGTGCTCGTGGCTGAGTACGTATGCTCTGGCTTTGGTATTTTCAGTTGACAATGGGTTTCCTGGGTGCAACCCTGTCTTTAGTCAAGGAACATCAGTCTTGAGAAAACAACTAGCAGACTCCGTACCTGCACGTTTCATATTCGTAATGCATGGCCAGCTGTCTGAGAGATGGTCTTGGCTGTTTTGTTTTTGTTTGGGGGCGATACTGGGGTTTGAACTCAGGTCCTCATGCTTGCTACCCAAGTGGTCTACCACTTAAACCACCTCCAGCCTGCCTTTCCTTTAGTTACCTTCCAGGTAGCTAAAGATAACTCATACTTTCTACCCAGGGCCAGACCAGTCCTCAGTCCTCCGGCCTGTGCCTCCGCTTGGCTAGGATTACAGGCAGGGTGACTGCAGCCAGCTTGTTTATTGAGATGGGGCTTTGCTAACAATCCCAGGATGGCCTAACACCTCCATCCTCCAACTGACTACCTCTTGAGTAGCTGGGGCTGGAGACCCTCCTCACCACACCCACCTGGCTTCCGTTTTTAATCAGAGACCCCTCTGGCGCTCCACTAAGAAAGTTGCGAGCTCCCGGCAGCGTGGGCGGGTGGGCGCAGCAGACCCCGTACCTGCACAACGGGGTGTCCCCCGGAGGATGCCTTCACAGCGCCCCGGCTGCCCTCCGTCTCGTAGTGAGCCCGGTGGTGGGACTTGGGCTGCACCTCGATCTGCAGCTCGTAGGGGCCGGAGTGGGATGGCAGCTGCCAGTCCAGGGCGGGCAGCGACGGGCTGGAAGGGAACAGAGGCCGGTGAGCACGGGGGACAGCGACGGGCTGGGAGGGAACAGAGGCTGGTGAGCACGAGGGTCAGCGACGGGCTGGGAGGGAACAGAGGCCGGTGAGCACGGGGGACAGCGACGGGCTGGGAGGGAACAGAGGCCGGTGAGCACCAGAG